CTGTTACTTCAGGGTTGGAACCTTTATCTCCTAGGGAGAGTTCAAAGACAGTAACCTCAGTCAAGCATTACTGGAACATAGAAATACCTGACTTGTACCTCTAACTAATGTGGATTGGATGCAATTTTCCTTTAAGCAAGAAGATGAGTTAATAGTCAGCTAGGGTACTTTGCCTTTCCCTTGGAATTCCTTTGTTTGCAGTTGATTAGGAAAGGTAAGAAAAGCAAGAAAACTTAGTTTCAGTTCTTAATTTTAGATGCACAACATCTAAAGTAAGTCAACATAAGACGTTGTAATGGGAGATAAACAGGAATAAACTTTTCAGAAGGATCCTTTTGGGGCATGATTGCATCTCTGGGCAGTTTCAGCCATATGGTCAGTTTCTCAATTCCTCTGCTATCCTCAAAGAATCGATGATTATCAGTTCATGAGGTAACGGCTAACTGAAACTTTCTGCTTGGTTTTAATTAACCCAAAGATGGCTGTTTTCTGCCCAAGAAACTTTTAGAACTTTCTGCAGTAATGGAAGTGTTCTGTATTTGCACTCATCAGTATGGTAGTTACTAGGTACTTGAGGCTATTGAGCACTTGACATGTGCCTACTGTGACTGAGGAACTAAACTTTAAATTTTATTTAATTTTAATTAATTTAAATTTAAATTGCCACATGTGACCGATAACTATTAGTGCAGGTCTAGAGTTTAAGAAGGAGTGAGTTGAGAAAAATATAAGAATTTAGAATCATAAGAAATTAGGGGGAAAATTGCATTTATCATGATTAAATTAGAGCAACAATTAAGTTAGATAAATTAAATGATAAATTAGAGCAATAATCTGCACATTAGACTGCACATTAGAATCACCTGGAAAGCTTTTTAGAAATACCAATTTCTGGGTCACTGATCTAAAACCAATTGGATCAGAATTTCTAAAAATGGAATGAGGGCACTATCTTTTCAAAAGCTCCCTTGGTTGTTCTAATGGGTGATTAGGGTTAAGAATCAGCAAGTCATAGTAGTGCTCCTTAGACCTAATTTGCACCAGGAGATCTTGTTAAAATAAAACGCAGA